TTGTGCCATGACAACAATTAATCCGTCTAAGCTGGATTGGTATCAGACAGCTGATACCGTTACAATAACTATCAAGCTAAAAGGGGTTGATCCAAGTACTGGTGTAGATGTTGCGGAATTTAGTGAGAGGTAGTGAGAGCCACCAGAGGCAGAGAAGTTAATTCCCTTTTTATACAGGTCAGTGAGGGTAGGCATCAATCATGAGAATAAAGGGAGGTAATGCACGATATGTAGCAGCTATGACGTAGTAACTCTTCAGTATTGAACACTACCTACTACAGTTGGACCTATGGGGCTCCATAAAGGGTGATAAGGCAACATACGAGGTAACACCATATAAGGTGGTGTTATATCTACCTAAAGATGACCAACAACAACAATGGTATTATGACCACTGTGGGTGCCATCTTCAACACTCACTAACCCAGGCCTTCCCTTCAATATGATAAGGGCTCTAACAGTCCTCGTATAGTGTCGACTACTTCGTCATCATCATCAACAACAACAGTGCCTGCTCCTAAGGCGGATAGCACTAGTAGTAGCTATCCCTCCTCATCTAAAGTAGTACTCACTAACAGCTGTTAGCTACAGCTTAGTATGGTTGAGTAGGTGCATCGGGACTGGTCAGCTATAGACAAGATGTGTGAGGAGGAGCTCAAGGGGGAGAAGGAGAATGGCGATGTAGTGATTTAATCAGCAACTCTTCGATCCTTGGTCTATAGGCTGCATTGAATGCATTATTCCGTCAAATATACGCCGGTGCTGATGATAATACTAGACGGGCCATGGTGAAGAGCTTTCAGACGTCTGGAGGTGGGATGTGCTCGTCCCTCCTCCCCTTTACCCCTCCTACTAGGTACTGTACTGTCAACCAACTGGGATGAGGTTGGTAAGGCTGATTATGAAGGGAAGGACAGGTACTAGAGATGGACACGTATCCAATATGTATTCCATATTCAGACCGGATGCCCCGGATGGTCAAGAGTGGCGAAAGTGGTAGTAGCCTGATGACATCTCCTATACGGACTGATTAATATTTCATCTTCGTGTGTGCAAATTATTCTTCTGAGCCTCTTAAGCCTTTCGTTGTGCTCACAACTGGACGATGACTGTCAGTTTTCCAATAGTCGTTGGTGATGATGATAAATCACCAATCTTATCCAATGCGCCCCCTGCCACGGTTACGAACTCTACTGTTCATCACCCTACTCTGCTTCCAACTGTCCCAGGGTGTCTATGTGGATATCCGTCATCTTGATGATGAAGCTACTGCTGCTGTACCCAGTCCTACTTCAGAACATAAACGTCATGGATATCACAGGTCTGAGCTCATCGGTGCTTGGATAGTCATGACAGTAGTACCCCTAGCATGCATAGTCTTCTTCTGTGCTACAGCCCCTCGAGTTAGACAACGAGAGCTACTCTTCAAGTTGTTCCATAGAGATGGAGTGTACACTCAACCTTCGATGGTTGAGATGGAGGACTTGGAGGCTGGTCCTACTACACAGGGCCCCCCGAGGCAGAGTAGTTGGTGGGATAGGTTGTGGGGTCGGTCGAGGGCAGCAGCACAAGCCGGTACTGGTATGGCAGCGACGGTTATAGGGAAAGCCAAACCTGTGATAAAGACAGCAGCGAGGAAGATAGATCGGAGTAGAGTTGGTCGGCATCATAGAAAGCAGCGTCAACGTGGGTTTAGGCAACTCGATCATGCTCTGGATGATGATGACTATGTTAAATATAGTGTTTATGCTGATGAGGAGGATGAAGCCACTTTTGGTGGTTTGGACGGTCCATCCTCTCTATCATCTTGGTCATCATCCTCGTGGACTTCATCACCGAGCAACTCCCCTCGGGATGGATCACCACAATTATCATCATCGTCACCACCCACAGTGATTGTGGAGCCTCCGGCTATGGATCTTATTGGATATTATGATTATCAGGCGCAGGATGGGCAAATACATCAAGAATTCAGAGAGGAGGTCATACTCACCACAATAGAGGGTGTACAGGGAACAAGTGAGGAGGAGACCACAGTAAGGAGGGTATCTTTCCATGAAACTCCACCAATGGAGGAAGAGGAGGGTCCACAGATCACTGAGGTTACTGATGATAACAAAGACCCCTCCAATTGTGATACCACTACAATGACAGTGGAAGAGCCACCTGATGAGTCGCCAACGAGAGTGAAAGCATCGTCAGCATTTAGTGAGAGCAGTCGTAGAACTTCGGAGGTCATTTCGTCGGATGATGAAGGGAGGTACATGTCAGCTACCGAGAGTAATTGCTATCAGTCTTGCTCTGATGGATCGAGTTCTGATGATGAAGAAGAAGACGATGAGGAAGGGGTTGTCGATGCCGGGGATTCTTCATTCACTACTGAGACCAGTGATGTTATCACAGGAGGAGCTAGTAATAGCAGTAGTAATGATGATCATCATCATGGGACAACTGACCATGACACTTGAGTCTACCCTCTTACGTCGCTTAGTGTCTTATAATAGCTTATGTATACTTACTTATATTTTCTCTCATCAGTCTTGCTTGTTTCGTTATAGTATTGCTAGTCAGCAGTGGGTATACATTCACAACGACATGATGCCACGTTACTGCCCTCCTAGTGAGTACTTTAGTCATCCAAGTGAACATAAGCTGGAAGGGCTCAGCAATGATGGATCTCCACTCTTCCTATAGTCAGCACCCCACTAGAGGAAGCACTGCATTTCTCCTACTCTTATCAGTCCTGCAATCATGCACAACAACTTGACTATAGCGTCTCTCAAGGGGGAAGGTCATGAAGCATGCAGAGTAGCTTATGTTGCCGATGATGGACATCATGTCGTAGGGGTCGTAGGATGCTCATCCAGCTGGGTGCAATTACCGTCTTAGTATCTCCTAGAGTCGTCCCCATCCTCGATTCGCCTGGCTGGTAGTACAACACTAAAGGGTAGAGTGAGTAGTATAAGGTATGCCTCACTACAATAGCAGTAGTATGCCACCAGTAGTAGGTATCATACACTCCATCATGCTATCACAGTCCTAGTCGTCACATCAACACAGGGTCGGTGATGGTGCTACTAAAGGGCTAGTATCGGATGTCTAGGCGCATATGTCTACTCTCATGATCTTCGAGAAACTGTCATTCATCTCCCACATCCCCAGGTTGATAGGCTCAATAATGAGGTAGTACTACCCGCCCAGCTGCCTCCACCGTCATCAGGTGTACTTCACAGCATCTACAGTCGTTCCCGTCGTCAACGATGATCCCTTCCGGAACAATGATGAAAGTCACCTTATAATTGGGGTTAGTGATGGCTCGTGCATGGTCGGAGGTACTTATCCTCTTCCCGACTACCACCGCCCTCTATAGGTTGTCCGATTTAAAGCTGGTAGCCTAGGAGAGGCTCTTGCAGGGCTACAGCTAGTGCCCAGTGTTAGCACCCCAATAGGGGTATGTGCTATGTGCTCGATGGAGGTTGTAGACGCACAATACTCGACTATGTGCGTAGTTGGTTATACTGATGGATCCCTGCGTGCCTGGAGGCCTTCAACCTTCACACAGGTATCCTCACCTCAGATCACGGCAAGCTGATGCCTCTGTCAGGTGGCAGCCATCAGTCCCTGTAAGGACTCCGAAGCCCCGGTGATAAGGTGCCCGTCTTGGTGATCTCTCTCTCAACCGACATCGTGTCAGCTGTGAATCCCCTACCCCCAATTGCATAGTTGCTGCTTACAGTGATGGTAAACTTCGAGTATTCGATGCTGCAGTGGATTGGCAGTTGAGGGTAACCCTAATAGGGCAGTAACCAACTCTGCAGTAGCACACTTCAGTTTGAGATATCAGCGCATGGCCGACCAATCACGGGTATGGCTGTTGATAAGAGGAAGGTAGTGGTAGCAGGGACAGGAGGTCATTACCCTCCTGCCCTCAGCATCTAGTGGCGACAGTTTCTGAGGATACTGTCCTGAACCTTTGGAAGATTGATCATCAAGACGATGAGGAGAACTCCTTCGAGGTAGGAGCGCTTCAATATCAGTAAGTGGCCAACCCATATGATAAGATACCTCAGCTCATTGGCTCAAGGCAAGTCACTCCGAGGTTGTTGACAGGAGTATGCTTTAACGATGGATTCCTCTCTCCGACTGATGATGAAGGTCTATTGATCTTAGCATATGACTCTGATATGCTGTACTCGATGGTATAAATACATGTCACTGCCGTTATCACATTCCACCACTGTTGTTTCGTTGTTTGAGTTTTAACACGGGTAATAACGAGCATAACACAATGACGAATTCTTCCGGACTGATAAATGAACAATGTATTATATTGTAATGTACCCCGTTAATATATGGGATATGAACTCGGCTTTAACAGCGGATTGAGCGTCACCACGTTAATGATTTTGGTCATGATAACCGGTGTTCATCTCGGTTACTTACGAGGGATGGCGTGTGCAGTTTTAAAGGGTCTTGCTTATCAATATCTGTTCTTCCTACATTAACTCAACAAAGATGGGTTAACGAGACTGTTACTAATTCTTCTACCATCAAGGATATACAATAACCTCCTCATGGTGCTGAAATACCTCGAAGCTCATCATCATTCCGTGCACGTTAATCAGAGCATACGGGTGATGATGAGCAGACACGAATGATAATACAGTCTTTTGTAACACCATCTGGTCACGGTGGATATACTATTTGGATTAAAACAAATTAGTCTTCTTCATAATACGGAGGAACTCCTCTTCACTCACTTCTCCATCACCATCACGGTCTGCCTCATCTATCATCTCCTAACAAGGGGGTCCATCAACGAGCTTGGTGACGATCGAATCCTCACCTGTAGCTCCTCATCGGTCATCTTCTCTCCAAGCTCCTTAGCAACACGCTTCAAGTTCTTGAAGGTGATCTTGCCTGTCTCATCATCATCGAAGAGCCTAACAAGCGTTGACTATGATGATACTAGCCAACAACGAGATAGGAATAGACCTGAAGGCTTTGAGGATCTCGTCTTTAGGATCCCTATTCAGAATTTTAGTAGTCATCATCTTGAGGAACTCGTCGTACTCAATCTGTCCAGAACCTATGCACACCACATGAGCTCAAATCCAAACTAAATCTTGTTCACCATCAGTATCAACATCTGCTATCATCTTCTGAATTTCCTCCTTCTTAGGCTCGAAACCAAGAGCACGCATGGCGACCTGATACAGTGGATAGGACCAAGGTAGGACCGAGTCACCATTACCTTGAGCTCCTTGGCATCAATAGAACCAGATCCATCCGTATCGAAGAGGTCGAAAGCTTCCTTAATTTCCTAAACTCATCAAGTGGCATTCTCGTCGATGTCATATCCTCCTTACCTGTTTCTGTTCCTCAGTGAGGTCCTTGGGCTTCTTACCCTGAGTACTGGCACCGAATCTACGCATAGCCATATTATCAACAGCAGAGATTATTACTGCAAACCCGTGATACCACGCCATCCCGAACTTCTCCTAATTTGATTGTACACACAACACTAGTCAATACCGAGAATCTCATCGCAGACACTAACGTTCACTCCGGCGATGAGTGCACAATGATAATGGAAGAAATCGTCGAGGTGTTTGAGCTGAAATCTCCATAAGGAGTTCAACAGCTGTTGTTGCTGCTGCTGCCTACCTAACCCATTCGAGGATCCTGTGGAGGCTGCTCAGGGGCCTAACATGCACAGCATAAGAAGATGGGTTCGATCGAGGGTCGTCAACCTACAACTTTAACGAGATCATCGATCCTGAGAATGGTAATAGCAGCCTCTGTTGCGAATTTAATGGACTTCAGCTTGGATACCATCGGCTCGAGTATCTGATAGCAACATGATCCTTCCCATAGGGAATAACCAGAGAGGTCCATCTTACTCCCTGCGACACTGCATCAGTGACCTCTCCTTTACTGAGATCGAGACCGGCCGTCGCGTTACCACGAGTATGAGCAACACGTAGTTCAGCGACAAGGGCAGGTACATCAGGAAGGGCGGCGTTGAGGGCCAAGGTCTTGGGGATAATCATCAATCCCTAACGAGGACAGGTTCTAATACCATCATCACTCGTGTGGAGGCAACATCACCTCAGCGAAAGCTAGAATGGCCATCTGTTCCCTTCCACGATGGGAGGTAGCGAACTCCTCAAGATGGAGTGATAGAGCAGCCTCAACGCACCCACCACCTCCGACAACCTGAAGAGATACCATTAGTACGGGTATTCATGAAGGCTACCTACACTCCCGGACTCCAACGCTCGGGATGTGGCACAGAGAGCATCATGAACGCTCCGCTCCGCCTCATCCAAGACAAAATCGGAGGCTCCTCTGAGGAGGAGGGTTGAACTCTTGCCCTGATACTGACTATCGCCGTTATTGGTTATGAAGACAAAGTCGTTGTCTCCAACACGTTCCTCATGGACCTGATCGTAGCTTGCTATCATCGAGTGCTGCGCACCAGAGTCGTATTACGAGATCAGCTTTGCCAATAGCAGAATCATCAATACCTTCCTCATCCCATTGCTCAGTAGCTGTGAGTGTGAGGAGGGGCTTAGCTCCAGTGGCCTGAGATAATTGATCGAAAGCTCCCACTGGAGTATAGTGTACCTTGGAAATCCTCTTCATGTCCTTCTTAGGGACTCTTCTGATACCCATAACTTTACGGTCGATGAGATACTTCATAGAGAAATCATCAAGACCACCACTGGTGAGGATGACATTAACACCCTTAGCAAGGATCTTCTCAATACGCTCCTTGGTAATGTCCATCTCCTTCTGACGGACCTTCTCGAGTTCAGCAGGATCGGTTATCTAATGACCATCAACACTCATCATCATGTCATCCACAGTAACAG